AAATCCCAGCTCTATCACTTCATAGCTGTGAAATCACAGCAAGCTTCTACAGCTTTCATTTCACCTGCTATAAAATGGAAGATGAGACTTCCCTAGTGGCACAGTGGTTAAGAATCCTCCTGCCAATGCAAGGGACACGGCCTCGAGCCCTGGTCCGGGAAGATACCACATGCTGCAGAACAACTAGGCCCGTGCACCACAACTACTGAGCCTGAGCTCTAGAGTCCGCGAGCCACAACTACTGATCCCGCGTGCCACAACTAGTGAAGCTCGTGCGCCTAGAGCCTGTGTGCCACAACTACTGAAGCCCGCATACCTAGATCCCGTGCTCCGCAACAAGAGAAGCTACCGCAATGAGAAGCCTGCACACCATAACCAGAGAAAGCTGGCACGCAGCAACGAAGACCCAATGCAGCCAAAAATAAATTAAGTAATTAATTTCTTAAAAAATGGAAGATAGTAATACCTGCTCCATAAGGTTGCTATGAGGATTAAATAAAATAGCATATGCAAAGTAACTAGCATAATGTGACACTTATGAGTAGGCACTCAACAAATCTACATTAGCTCATTTTCTCTTCCATTCTATGGAACACAGGTTTCACTATACCAACAAAATTAACTAAATTGTATTAATCTAAAAGGTTAGCTTCTAAATGCTATATAAAGTTTCTAAGTCTATGCAAATTATAACTAATACTATTATAACTAAAACTTAAAACTTATAATGATCATCATCTCCCAAATTATGAATGAACTTCTGAATGCAATATTGCTTCCATAAAAACTTTCTCCTGGGCTTCCCTGGTGGCGCAGTGGTTGAGAGTCTGCCTGCCGATACAGGGGACACGGGTTCGTGCCCCGGTCCGGGAAGATCCCACATGCGGCGGAGCAGCTGGGCCCGTGAGCCATGGCCAATGAGCCTGCGCGTCCGGAGCCTGTGCTCTGCAATGGGAGAGGCCACAACAGTGAGAGGCCTGCGTACCGCCAAAAAAAAAAAACCAAAGAAAAAAAACTTTCTCCTGATTATGTTCACATATATTAACTCACTACTCCTCAAAATTCTAGTGAAAGAGAAGAAGAGATTCTGGTGTCCTTACTAATAGGAAAGAGGAGGTAATTAAAATAATATAATACTAGAACTTGATATTGGCTTCCCTGTATGTATTCTATTTCCAAGGATTCGTAAGCATTTTTCAGCAAAAAGTTTCATAATGGCACAGAGAAACATTTCCCATTTACCCAAACATTCTGCACAAATGGTAACATGCCCTCCTGAGTTCCAAATTATTTCAATAATGCCAGGAAAAAGGCTCTAGATTCAAGAGGAATACGAGGTGGTGTGAGAAAGAAGGGATAAGGAACAGAGCAGAAAGAAAAAGAAAGACAATCATTCTCCCTGATTCCTGTTGCCATTTCAATGGATGTAAACAGTGAGCTCACCTATTTAACTACTATTTGGATACCTCATAGACCTTCTAAGTTGAACCTGTACTAAACTCATCACCTTCCTCCTAAAACAGCTCTTCTTCCTCTATTTTTCATCTGAATGAGAAGCACTCCATCTACACAAACTACCTAAGGCTGAAACCTAGCAGTCATCCTTAACACCTCTCATCCTCTGCATCCTGATAATTTCCAAGAATTGTCTATTTCACTTCTTAAAAACTTAAAATTTGTCTTGTCCTCTCTGTATCTACTGCCTTAGTTTAATCCTTCATCATTTCTAACCTAGATCATTACAATAATCTCACAACTAGTCCTGTGGCTTCTGTCTATCCCTGTTTCAACTGTTCCTTTCCAAAGCAATCAGGATGATCTTCTAAATTGTATATCTGATCATATTACCTATAGGATAAAGTTCAAATTCCTTAGCACAGCATACAAGATCCTTCATGAGCAGGCCCTTGCTTTACCTTATCTATTGCAGATTCTTATTCTGAACTTTAAGCTCCAGTAATGTTACTTGTAGTTTGCTAAACATACTATTATTTCACACTTCTGAAGTTGTACTCTATCTCTTGTCCATTTCTTGAATTCCTATTTAGGCTTCAAAGTTCAACTCTGAAATAATCTCCTCAATGTAGCTTTTCCAAAACCACTGTCCCCACTCCTCGGTCAAAGTTAATCTGTTGCTCCTCTAGAGGGTCACTGTACCTCTAACTTACTTCTATTTGGCCCTCTTCATACTGTATCTTAATTATGTGTCTCTTTCCCCTATTTGTCTATGAGCTTCATAAGGGCAAGGCCACCTTTCCATCTTTGCATCTCAAGGCATAGCAAATGACACACAGAGGTTCTCAATATATGTAGTTTGAAATGAGATTGTAAGATCTATCTCCATAAGCAGAACTTCGGCCAATTAACCTCAGAGTTTAAGTACTCTGTGACTTATTCATACATATGACAAATATTAAGATAGTCTAAATGTCTATTCTTTATAAATATTTCTGTGATCCTTTTGATTTTACCTTTAGAAACATCTGTTTCAGTAAATTCTTTATACTTATAGACAAACTAGCCATAAAGTTATCCCTTAATTTTTCCTCCTTAACTCTTTTCTCTCCCTTCATGCATTTTATCCTGACCTACCAACCCAGCTACCAAATACTTGGGGAGGTTGGGAGGAAATGGGGAGTGACTGCTAATGGCTATGGGGCTTCTTTTGGGGACGATAAAAATATTCTAAAACTGGTTGTGGTGATGGTAGCACAACTCTGTGAATATATTAAAAACCATTGAATTGTACAGTTTAAATGGGTGGATTTATGATCTCAGTAAAGCTATCATTAAAAAAAGAAAAAACCTTGTTCATTTTTGCTACAGAGTTGAAAGGGATTCAGAGATAGAAAGCACATGTGTACAGTGGAGATGACACACAAGTTTATTTAGCAGACACTCTTCATTAGAGTCAGTCCAGCCTGTTGGGTGAGTGAATCTTTGACCATTAGCCCATGTTAAATAGCCAGCGTGTACCAAAGAGGAATGTGAAATAGGTAGCAAGCCACTTAACTGATCTGTGACATGAATATACGAAGCAGGGTAACTTAAATCATTGAAATTCCTCAGATTCTAAGAACCAAGAAATTTAAGTCTTCTCAGAGCCCATTCCACTAAGATTGGCCTTCTTTGGTCTATTCGTGGCTTTGGTGATTGGCTCAGAGTATTACCTACTTGGTTATAACTTGTCCCTACTCCAAATGAGAGTGCTGAATTGGTGCCCACCACCATCCCCTTAACCTGAATTCTCTAAGAAACATTCAGAAATTAAAAATGCCCTGTTAGGGACTTCCCTGGTGGCACACTGGTTAAGAATCCGCCTGCCAATGCAGGGGACATGGGTTCAATCCCTGGTCCAGGAAGATCCCACATGCCGCGGAGCAACTAAGCCCATACGCCACAACTACAGCCTGCGCTCTAGAGCCCGTGAGCCACAGCTACTGAAGCCTGCGCGCCTAGAGCCCGTGCTCCGAAACAAGAAAAGCCACCACAATGAGAAGCCCGCGCACCACTTCTAAGAATAGCCCCCACTCACTGCAACCAGAGAAAGCCCATGCGCAGCAATAAAGACCCAAAGCAGCCAAAAAAAAAAAAAAAAAAGCCCTGTTTTGTTGACTGCTGAGTCATTTTCTGAGTTTACTTGCTGTAAAGAATAATGGCCCCCTAAGGATGTCTACATCTTATTTTCTAGAACCTGTGACTATGTTACATGGCAAAAGGGGCTTTGCAAATGTGATTAAAGGATTTTGAGATAGACAGATTATCCTGGATTAGCCAAGTATGTCCAATGTAATTACAAGGGTCTTTACAAGTGAATGAAGGAGGCAGGAGATTCAGAATCAGAAGGAGATGTGATGACAGAAGCAGTGGTCAGAATGTTGTGAGTGATGGCTGGCCCCTGAGCAAAGCAATACGGGCAACTTCTAGAAGCTGGAAAAGGCAAGGAAACAGTTTTTCCCCTAGAACCTCCAGCCCTAACAACACTTGATTTTAGCCTTTTAAGACCCATTTCAGTCTTGTGACCCCTAGAACTGTAAGATAATATATCTGTATTGTTTTAGGCCATTAAATTTGTGGTAATTTGTTACAACAGCAATAGAAAACTAATACACTTGCCCCCAACATAATCATCAATATCAGGCCTGAAGCATATACCTACTATTTGTGGAGTCCAGTTGCTTTTATTGCTCAAGATAGAATATTGTTTTATAACAACTAGTAATTGTGTCCGAGTAGAAATGTTTTTCCTTTTGGGTTATGAAGCTCCAAAAGTAACCAGTGGGAACTGCAGTTGGATCAATGGCTAATGGTCAATATAGGTACAAAACATACAGAAACATATAATTCTGTCACTGGGATTTTAAAACATGGATTTCATAACAACACTGTATATCAATAATAACTCCAACTGTGTATAAATATTCTTTGACATTTTTTTTTTAGGGGAAGCTTCAGGAAGGGTACCAACCTGAGACAGGATGAGCCATTTGGAATGGGGTCTTTCATCAAAGGCTTGGAAGGGGTTAGGAAATACAAAGATATCATCCCAGAGATAAAGGAACATAAGGTAGGCAGTAATAGAAAAAGGTTCTCATCTAAGATATAACCAGTAATAGAGTGGAGGAGTGATATGAGAGAAAAGACAGTAAGACACAGAAAACTAAACACCATGAGATGATGCTAAGAATAGATCACTGCCTGGAGCTACAATTTCTCTGTTTCATTAGTTTGAATTTGATATTTTGCCTAATATATGTACAACCTCCAAATTTTCCTAACATTCTTTTTTCAATTCCAGTGTAAAGCTCTTACAACTGAGCTGTGAATTATAATCTGCATAAGAGTTCCAACAACTGGTGGAAAGTTACTATTCACACTTGCTATTCATTCTTTCCATTATTTAAGAAGACTTGTAATGTTGATATTGTCAGTGTTATATCAGTTTCTACCCTCCTCCTGCCAGGTTAAGTGTTCAACAAAGAAATCTCTTCCTTACTTACAATTGCACAGCGTGGCATTTTTGAAGGAATTCCATCATCCTCTGCTGCCCCATTGGGTCCAGGTATCTCTTTCCTCCTCTTCCTCATGTTGACTTTGGCTGAATTCTGTGCATCCATCTTCTAACTGGTGATAGAAAGTGAAAAAGAATTTTTGTCTCATTGGGGTGGGAAAAGCCTGTCACCAGTATTTCAGAGATGTTAATATGGAGGCACTTAGTATCAATTCCATAGCACACATTTCACAAAGGTGAACCAATTGCATCCAGCAAAAACAGCAAAGCTTCACAAAACGCAGGCTCTAGTAGAAACACTGAAATGCCTCTCTGTGGAACAATGGCACAATTAATCACCTGGACCTTGTAAATTATTTCCCAACCAATACAGCCTGTATACCAACTGCTAATTTCATATCCTGACTGCATGCAAAAACCTGGAAGAACTTGGCTGAGAAAGTTAGTTATACAGACTTTCCACTACTCTTACATCATATCTCTAGGACACCTAGAAGTATGACAGGTGCAAGGAAATGTGAAAGGTATGTCTTTGGTACAGACGGAGAAAAGAGCCTTTTTTTTTTTAAAGGATGGCCACCAGCGATTCCTGGTTTAACAAAGCATGGATTTCTTAACTCTAAATGCTCTGTATATTTCAGAGACCACTCCTCCAGGATGAGAGCTATGAAAATTGTAGAGTAAGTGTACTTGTATCTTTTAAATGTCTTTCCTCTTCCTTTTTCAATTCATTTCCCCTCCCTCTTTCAGAGTCTTAGCACCTTAAGCTTGCTCAGAGTCCCCAACTACTAAAACCCCACCCAGGCTTCTCCTTCCCCCAAGGAAAAACTTACTATTGTCTCATTTAGCAGAAAGTGTCTAGCAACTAACAATTACAGAAAAGTTCTGAATATTTGATGTTTCATGTTTAGATGTTGGCTTGTGCTACACCTCCAATCCCCTACAAGGATATCTGCATTTTTCTTAGGTAACATAATTTGCACGAATAAATTAATTTCTTGATAATGATGAAATTTTAGATATCAGCCAGAAATTGGAGATAGAGGAACTTCAATGATCAACTGCCATCTCTGCCCAATACGTGGTACAGTGAAAGGTGGAAAAAAGATCCTTAGAGCAGAAGCAGAAAACAAAACAAAATACTAGACAGAATGAGGACTTTCTACTCGGCCTCACTGCCTCTAATAAGCCCTCCAGAATACATGTTTATCTAAACAATCGCAATTGTGCCTTTCTTTCTTTCCTCTGGTTAAATTCCAAGTGGCAATGTGATAAGATCTACAAGAAACCTAACCTAATTCTTAGAGACTGAAAGAAACACCCCATGAGTCATGGCTAAGTATTAGGCTGGTATGAAAAAATGTCAGAATCTAAAGTGAAAGATGACCACCACCCAGAAACTTCCTTTCATCATATATTCAATTAAAATTAAAATGTCTTTTCATCACAAATTAAAATGAAAGGAGGGTACTGTATATTTAACAAGCTTTTCCAGTGATGATGATCAGAGATTTTCTTCATTATTGTTATTAATTATTCTTTTGAAATATCCAGAGGTCAGATTTACTACTCCCATCTCACTGGTCTGAGAGGCCTGCTAAGAATGCCTAATCAGTTCAGTTAATGACTGTTTCTAATTTGCATACAACAGGACTTCGCTGCAAATATCTGTTAAATTCTCAGAGTAGGTAGACAAAATCCATTATGAGAAATATAATCAGCAATCTGGTGTCAGGTAGCTCAAGGCCAGGCAGTCAATAATATTAAGTATTTATTGTACACAAGGTATTATAACATAATTTTAAAAGTAAAAGTTATTTTCTCAAGAAGCCTTCAATCAAGGTGAGGAAACCACATGTTTATGATAAAAAATGCTCCTTAGGATTGCAAAACCATTGGGGGAAAGTTTGTTTAGGAACAGTTTCAAAGTAAATATCTCCCCATCAATAACTTATTAATTACAAAGTAAAAAGAGTTACCTTTAAAGTGAAAAAAATCTGAATTGGGAGATTGGGATTGACATATATACACCAATATGTGTAAAATGGATAACTAATAAGAACCTGCTGTATAAAAAAATAAATAAAATTTTAAAATGTACACTATTAATAATGTAAAAAAAAAAGTGAAAAAAATCTCTCAGCTAAGTAATTAAAGCTAATTATACATCACCAATAATGCCTCCTGATGTGAGGCACTGAGGATACATCATCTGCCAAAAATGCATAACCTGTATGGCTTTATGAGGAACAATCAGACAAACCTCAACTAAAGGACATTCTACAAAACAACAAGGCTGTATTCTTCAAAAAAATGTCTATCATGAAAAACAATGAAAGGCTGAGGGACTGTTCCAGGTTAAAAGAGACCAAAGAAATGACAACTACGTGTAATGCATAATTCTAGATTGGGGGAGAAATTGTTATAAAGGATAGTTATTAGGACAATCAGTAAAATTAAAATATGGATTCTGTATCAGATAATAATATATATCAATGTTAAAATAAACTTCCTTAAGTTGATCATTATACTGTTATGTAAAAGACTGTCATTGGTTTTTTGGGGGGTTTTTGGTTTTTTTTTTTTACAAAAGTTTATTCTTAAATGTACAATAGGTTCCAAGACAACACTTCATTCTAGCTATAGGTGGCAACAGATGTTATGGCAGGGAATCCAGATGTTTAAACAGGAATGGAACTAAGGATCATCATTGCCTCAGGCACAAGGAACTTTTTGCCAGATTTCTTAATTCCACCTGTGGCCAGGGGGCCCTTCCCCGAGGCCTTCGCTTTTAGCTCCTCAAATTTCTTTTGCTCCTCCTTCTGTTTCTGCTTGAATGCCTTATCTTCCTCGTCCATCTCCTTGGCTTGCTTCTTGGGCTGCTTCAGGGGCTTCTTGCCACCTTCGCAGCCCGACATGGCACCTGCCACCCCTTCCCCAGACCCTGCCACCGGATGCCTGTCATTGTTTTTTTATGCTGAAGTATCTAGGGATAAAGGGTTATGATCTCTGCAACTTAACCTCAGCAAAAAAAAAAAAAAAAAAAAAAAAAAGAAAAAAGAAAAACGTGTATATTATATTACATATAAAAAGGTAAAACAATATGGCAAAATGTTATCAATGTATGAAGCTGAGTCAGGCACAAAGGAGTTCATTTTAATATTCTTGCAACTTTTCTAAAGGCTTTACTTTTTTTTTTTTAAGTAAAAAGTTGACTTTTAAAAATGTTCAAGGGCTTCCCTGGTGGCGCAGTGGTTGAGAGTACGCCTGCCGATGCAAGGGACATGGGTTTGTGCCCCGGTCCGGGAAGATCCCACATGCCGCGGAGCGGCTGGGCCCGTGAGCCATGGCCACTGAGCCTGCGCGTCTGGAGCCTGTGCTCCGCAACGGGAGAGGCCACAACAGTGAGAGGCCCACGTATCGCAAAAGAAAAAAAAATAGTTCAATAAACATTTTCTACACAGATAGGCCCTCATCTAAGGTTGTCTTTTGGGGTCTCTAGAAACAGATTTCCTCTCCTTCCTAAATCTTTGAATCAGTGTAGATGATATATATATTCCAAGAAGTATGTTTTAGGAATCTAAGTGTGTTGGAAGAAAGTAAGATAATAACAGCAAATTCATAATAATGACTTTTTTTTTCAATATTACCAGTGCCAGGCACTGTGCTAGGTACTTTATATACATTATTCTCATTTAACCCATATAACCTGAGAAGCAGGTATTTTTAGTCCCAATTTACAAGTGAGAAAACTAAGGATCAGGGAGGTTGAGCAACCTATCCAGAGATCACACAGCTAGTAAATGAGAAAGCCAGAATACTGTCTCCCAGAAATTCACAGATTTTTTAAAGAAGCTGTCTCATCATTCCTGCTGCTTCCCTCAATCAAGAACATTTTTTCCACGGCATGGGTTCCTGAAGTTTTTGTAAACTTAAGTCAGACCAGCCTACCTGAACAGTGGAATAAAAGGTCACAGTCACTTAAAGGTAAACAAGGTCCCAGCACCAATCAAATAAAACTGACATGGCTATTGGCCTGATTCCAAAGCTGCCTGATTTGTCAGCTGTACAGGTCTTTCCTACTGGAAAAGTTTTACTAGGATTTCCTGATAAGCTTTCAACGTAAGTAAAAAAGAATTCTTTAATTCTCTGCTCATCTCTCTTCTGACATTACAAATAGGTGGTGCTTAAGTCACCTGTACTTTTCATTCATGATACAAAATAGAGCTTTAAGGATGCCAAAATAAAAAGGGAATAAATATCATGTCATATTCTCACCAGTTACTTTCCATGACTTCAAGTTAAAATTCCTTAAAGTTTAATAGAAAAATACTTAACACATCCAAAGACATGTTTATAGGAACTTCTCAGAAGTCTTTGCTCTGTATGTGTGTCGGTGTGTGGGGGGGGATTATGTGTGCTATAATATTTTTACAGCTCTACTGAATGAACTATAATTAACATACAATAAACCATATATTTAAAAGTGTATAATTTAATGAGTGTTAACATTACATACCTGTGAAATCATCAAAATTAAAAAACATATCCCTCACTCTCAAGTTTCCTCATACCACTTTATAATCCATCTCTCCCTCCCTACTCTGACTTTGCTTTGCTTTTTTGTTTTGTTTACACTGTGGTAAAATATACATAACATAAATTCTACTTTGCTTTTTAACTGTTTAATTCTTGAAGTACTGAACCATCTTGCATAATTCAACTTAACCAGCCAAATACATGGTAGATATCATCATACTAGAAAGAAGCAAAGGCGCTAAATACTGCCCTTGTGGTTTTAAAGATATTTTAAAGTCAAATTGATATCTGGAGTCACTAGATATTGTGACATGGATCTATTCCACTAGATTAAAAAAATCATACAAAAAATATAAACTATCACAATGAGAACTCAAGGGAGGAGAACGGAGATATCTGACTACCTATTTAAAGCTAATGTAAAATTCATGAACAAAGAATCAAGTCAACCATTAGTATTAGTACTGACACATTGCAAAGCCCATTGGTAAATAATAGTAATACTAACATATTTTACCTGAATTTCAGTTGAGTACATACATTCTTCAACAAAATCTCTCCTTCTGTCTTATATAAATACCTCTAACCAAATGTCTAAGGCAGTGTTTCTCAATATTTTTTATCCATGCTCCATTTTGAGAAAAGTAAAAATCTTTAACCTCACTCCGTTAGCATACTGTAGTGATTAAATAGAGGTCAGCCCCTAAATCATATTACCTAAATATGAATCCCATTTCTACCACTAACTAGCCATGAAAATTTGGACAAATTCCTTTATCTCTCCAAGTCTTAGTTTCATCATCTAACAAATGTGGTTTAAATGGAATAATCCATGTAAAGCCTTACTTAGCTCAGCGTCTGGCACACAGTATGTGCTTGTAAACATTAGCTACTATTATTATTTCATAGTAGTAGTAGTTGCCATCATCTGCCTTAAAGTCTATCTTCCGTGTATCCCCTATAGCCAAGAAGATTTTGTCAAGTTTTCACCCATGATTACTACTATAAAAAATGTACTTTTAATGTAAAAGTATGATAAAACATGAAGTATGCTCCATCTCCCCATCTTATCCTTACCCCATTTAAGAATCACTGCTGTGGAACTTCCCTGCTGGTCCAGTGGTGAAGAATCCACCTTCCAATACAGCGCGTCACAACGAGCTCCCGCGCCTCAACTAGAGAGCCTGTGTGCTGCAAAGTACAGAGCCCACTCGCTCTGGAGCCTGAGCGCCACAACCAGAGAAGAGAAAACCCGCACGCCACAACTAGAGTGAAGCCGGCGCACCGCAGCAAAAGATCCCGCCTGCCTCAATGAAGATCCCGCATGCCGCAACTAAGACCCGACGCAGCCAAAAGTAAAATAAATAAATAATAAACAAATCTTTTTTAAAAATAAAGTAATTTAACAATTGAACATCCTTGCCCAACAGACACTAATTCAAAAAAAAAAATTACGATTGTAGCAAGAACTCTTCTAGAGTCTGATGTTAAGCTATGATGAAGAAACACCACTATTACTACTACTACTACTACTACTACTACTACTACTACTGTCAGTATTTATATAACACCTGTATGTCTAAAAACTTTAAAAATATTAAAACTCTTGGGGCTTCCCTGGTGGTGCAGTGGTTAAGAATCTGCCTGCCAATGCAGGGGACACGGGTTCGAGCCCTGGTCCGGCAAGATCCCACATGCCACGGAGCAACTAAGCCCGTGCGCCACAACTACTGAGCCTGCGCTCTAGAGCCCGGAAGCCACAACTACTGAGCCCGCATGCCACAACTACTGAAGCCCGTGCGCCTAGAGCCTGTGCTCCGCAACAAGAGAAGCCGCTGCAATGAGAAGCCCGCGCACCGCAACGAAGAGTAGCCCCCGCTCACTGTAACGAGAGAAAGCCCGCGCATGGCAATGAAGACCCAATGAAGCCAAAAATAAATAAATTAAATTAAAAAAACACAAAAAACTCTCTTAACATTCACAACCCTTTGACATAGACGTATTATTTTTATCACTATTGAAACCGAGGCACAGAAAATAAGATCACACAGCTAGTAAGTGGCGAAGCTAGGAATCAAATTCAGTCAGCCTGGCTGCAGACTACACACACTTAACTACTGTGGTATACAACAAAATGCGACACTGTACTATAAAAGAAGGTACCTAATAACTATCTCTAAATATCTGAATGCCTGTTATGTTGGATAGGGCAGACACTTATTCTGTGAAAGTCCAGATAATAGAAAATGAATCACTAGTTGGAAGATGAAGAGACACAAACTTTAACATAATAAAAACCTTTTTAGGAACGAAGAGTTATCTGAAAAGGGGCTGAGTTACCTCGGGGGCATTTCATTTTGGCATACCAGGACATTCAAGGAGAGGTTGTGTAGAAATACCTTCATTCATTTTATTAGTCATAATCCTGTAAAGTCCATCATGGTTGATCTTTTTGTTTGTTCTAATCTTAAAATAATTTCAAATCATGACTGCCATCTATCACATTAGCATTCACAATGTTATGTAACCTATAAACTTGAAAAGCATGTTTTTTATGTTTCCATCCATGTTAGTGCTGAAAGTCTTGATCAGGATAGATATATGTCACCATACACCAATGTGACATACCACTGGACCCCTCTCTCCTCATTGAGATCCACTCTTAATACTCTAGGTTAGTACAATATAAAACACAGGAGAGTTTATCTTTAGAAAACAGGATAGAAAAATATATTTAGAATTCTTAATGATTAGGGTATTCAATCAGATGTAAACCCACTTCATTGTACTATCACATAATCCACATTTCTCTATCACAGTCCCAAAGATTATGATAATAGTGATGATAAAAATTATAGCTAACACTTACAGAGTACTTCCTTTGTGCCAGAAAGTTATAAACCTTTTGCATATATTAAATAACTTAATTCTCACAACAATCTTATGCGGTAGATAGTATTATTTGCTCTATTTTGCAGATGAGGAAATTGAGGCACAGCTGGGTTAAATGACTTGACTGAGGTCACACACCTAGGACAGGGCAAAACCAGGATTTGAACCAAGGCATTCTGGCTCTAGGATCTGTGTACTTAACAACAACACTGCCTAGTATTTATTTACTTATTATATGCTGCCTAGTATATAAAATGGTCATACATGAATTTAAACAAAACCACTTACTGCACTCTGGTCATGCACTACACTGTGCCGAGCAGGAGTTTAATTTCATCTTTCACAAAGACTGGGCTCCTTCTCACTGGGCATATCGCTGACAGACTACTTAGGAATTCCAGGGGCTTATTTTGGTTTGGGCCAGAGTAGAAGAGTAGAGGGTGCAATAGACCAGGAATCATATCATATAAACGGGGATTTCATTCTAGCTCCTCCCAGGGAATTCCCTGGCAGTCCAGTGGTTAGGACTCGCGCTTCCACTGCAGGGGGCATGGGTTCAATCCCTGGTCGGGGAACTAAGATCCCACAAGCCTCTCGGCCTGGACAAAAACAAAAAAAAAAAATCTAGCTCCACCTAGTACCT